ACACAGATACAGGACTGATGAGCTAATGGCTAGTCTGGGTGTAGCCAAGCCCTTCTGGTGCACCCTGGGGTCGTCTGTCAAGACATTACCCTGTAATAAAAAATAGAAGAAGAAAATGCACTTTTACATAAATTCATGTGAACATTTGAAGATTATATATGTCTTTTTTTTTTACTAGCTGTTAGCCCATTAGTCAATCTAAGATGTAAAAGCTATTTCTCTGAACAGAGGCCTTTCAAGAAGCTATCATGATTTAAATATGAACATTTTTATGACATTTCCTCAGTTTAAATGGCAGAAAGCAGGGAAACAATAAATAATATTAAATTGTTTATAATAAAATATGTGCTTGTCACTACTGGACATGTATTTGTTGCTTTTTTATTTTATTTTTTACTTACTACCATGTTTATTTATTTGTTTATTTATTTTTTGCCAGGCTGGGTAATGAAGTCTTCAAACCAGGAATTAAAAGAACCAGAACGACTCATCTCAGGGAATTTCTGGAATTATTAATCACATGAGTTTTATTTTTTAGGAGTGTCTGTGTGGAAATATGCCCTTCACTGGAATAATACTGGTCTAAACATTCAATTTTAATTCCATTAAAGGCTCTTTGGGCACTATTTTGTTCATTTCTAACACAGAAATAGAGCAAATTCAGGATTTCATTGTTTTCTTTTGAAAAACATCCCGAATGCAGCAAATCTTCCGTGATACATGACGGAGAATCCTCTCTAAGCAAACATGATCTAATTTACAGACGTTTACAATCAGAAGTAATGATTAACTGTTCCTGCTCGTTTCCACGCAGACTCCCTGGATCTTTACTTCTCATTATCATTTTAAAAATAAACTCATCACAAATCCACACCGCCCCCTTCCTGCTGCCCTGACAGGAAAAACAAGGATGCACACGGAAACTCTGGTAAAGACAGAAAACTACATAAAAACACAAGTGAGCACTAATGAACTCTACACGTGTTGACTAATGTTCCCTTTAAACCAGTGATGTGCGTGTGTGTGTGTGTGTGTGTGTGTGTGTGTGTGTGTGTGTGTGTGTGTGTGTGTGTGTGTGCGTGTGTGTGTGCGTGTGTGTGTGTGTGTGTGTGTGTGTGTGTGTGTGAGATCTGGTGTCTGAACAGACCAGAGAGAAGCCACGTCTGCAGACCGGCGGCTCTGAGTTTAACATGGGATTGTTTGGTTCTGCTGACCCAAACGAGAAGCTGATTGGCTGCGTCCCGGTGACTCAGAGCCGCTGCACACTTGTATGTAAATGAAGTCTGTGTGTATTTATCAGCTGAGGGAAGTTTTTCTTTATTAGAAAGCAGGTGGAGGAGACACAAGTTTATCCTGCAGTAAAATAAATTCCACATTCAGAAAGTTATCAGACAACGTTCATTAATATTCAGATTAAACGCAGGTTGGTGAAACAAAGTCCTCAATAAAATGTTTATTTAATGAGAAGTGATGAAAAGGAGAGAAGTAAAGATGATGCACGCCTTCAGATCCCTGCTGCTCGTCACAAAGGTGCTTTTTTCTTATAGTTTGTCAAAGAGAATGCAAGATTTCTCAGTGAAACCATCAGAGGAAAGTTTTATTTTCATTCTTTTATAAAAGTTATTAGACTCAGAAGATTTTACCGGGACTCGGCTGGCTTTACTGCAAGTTTCAGTCATAAATAATAGAATTTGTTTTGGAGGAAATCAAGCTTTCTCTAGTTAGTTCACCACCTGCTGTGTGTTTGTTGGCAGTTCATTTCCGTAGTTTTCCTCTTTAAGCACATTCAGTTTTTATTTCTAAAAAAATAATAAAACATAGAAACCCAGAAAAAGTAGTTTATCTCCAGAAAGTTTTTCAGTTCATGGTGAAGAAAATCCATCCATCCATCCATCCATCCATCCATCCATCCATCCATCCATCCATTGTCTGAACCCGCTTGTCCACGCAGGGTCGCGGGTGCCCATCTCCAGTGATCAACGGGCAATCAGGCGGGGTACACCCTGGACAGAGAGCCAGTCCATCGCAGGGCAACACACACACACACACACACACACACACACACACACACACACACACACACACACACACACACACACACACACACACACACACACACACACACACTTAGACCAATCAACCTAACAGTCATGATTTTGGACTGTGGGAGGAAGCCGGAGTACCCGGAGAGAACCCACGCATGCACAGGGAGAACATGCATACTCCATGCAGAAAGATCCCAGGCCGGGAATCGAACCCAGGACCTTCTTGCTGCAAGGCAGCAGCTCTAACCACTGCGCCACTGCGCAGCCCGGCGAAGAAAATCATTCTTAAATATGTTTCTGATCTTTTGGAGAAGTTTAAAAATGAAATGAGACCGATAGTGATGCACCGATTCTGGTTGTGAAGGCCAATACCGGTTTATGAATTTTGTACCTGATGATGCTGCTTTAGCTCAAAGAACCGAGGTTGACGGAAAACCCACTTTTGTTTCGTTTAGAATTTCAGATCATCTGCTTTAGGAAACGGTAAAGAGCGTAAAACAAGTCTGGCAAGCTCTTGCAAATAGATTTAACACTCGAGTGATTAAAACCACATTTTGTGCTCATTTTTAAATTATTTTAAATTCTTTTAAATGTAATATAAAAACATTTTTGGTCATGTATTTAAAACCATATTATAATTTCCGTCTTGCTTGCAGGTTCTGTGATGTTCTGCAGCTGTCAAACAGGAAAGGACTCCATGTTTTTGTGTTCCCTGGGCTTCTGCTGCTCTCTAGTGGCCAACATGCAGAAATGCAGGATTCCTGATTTTCTCAGCTAAATCTGTTCTTTACCAACATGACTGGCATGTCTCACATATTCTACTGATTTATGTTTAATTTGTCTTCGATTCTCATTTTTATTTGTATTTTTGTCATGTTTCCATGACAACGTAAAGCTATGTTTGATACGGTAGCTGCTGGTCACACTTTTTTCATCCCTCCATTCTCTATACTCACTCGTTCACGCAGGGTCGTGGGAGACTGATGCCTATCTCCAGCAATATGCAGGCAAACAGGCAGGGTACACCCTGGACAGGTTGCCATCACAGGGCAACACACACACACACACACACACACACACACACACACACACACGCACACACACCTAAGGACAATTTAGAAAGACCAATCAACATGACAGTCATGTTTTTGGACTGTGGGAGGAAGTCGGAGAGAACCCACGCATGCACAGGGAGACCAAGCTGGGGGTTTGAACCTGTGACCTTCTTGCTGCAAAACAGCAGCATTACCCACTGCTCCACTGTCCAGAGAGCCTGCCTGCTAGACTCCTCTGTTTAATTCTGCACAGAGAAAGGTGCAGAATTAAACAGAGTGTGGCAGGCCAGGCTGCTGTCCAGACATCCTAAAGTTAATACTCGTTCATGGTTATCAGCTGAACTCACTTTGGCTAAAAACTGCATGCAAATGCATTTCAAATTAAATGCTAGAGTCCATATTCTCTCATTGTTTTTCTACATTTTTAGCCGTAATTTTCAAAATCTGGCTTTGATTGTAGAAATATTTAAATACAGGGAGTGCAGAATTATTAGGCAAATGAGTGTTTTGTCCACATCATCCTCTTCATGCATGTTGTCTTACTCCAAGCTGTCTAGGCTGGAAAGCCTACTACCAGTTAAGCATGTTAGGTGATGTGCATCTCTGTCATGAGAAGGGGTGTGGTCTAATGACATCAACACCCTAAATCAGGTGTGCATAATTATTAGGCAACTTCCTTTCCTTTGGCTTAACGGGTCAAAAGAAGGACTTGACAGGCTCAGAAAGGTCAAAAGTGAGATATCCTGCAGAGGGATGCAGCAGTCTTAAAACTGCAAAGCTTCTGAAGCGTGATCATCGAACAATCAAGCGTTTCATTCAAAATAGTCAACAGGGTCGCAAGAAGCGTGTGGACAAACCAAGGCGCAAAATAACTGCCCATGAAGTGAGAAAAGTCAAGCGTGCAGCTGCCAAGATGCCACTTGCCACCAGTTTGGCCGTATTTCAGAGCTGCAGCATCACTGGAGTGCCCAAAAGCACAAGGTGTGCAATACTCAGAGACATGGCCAAGGTAAGAAAGGCTGAAAGACGACCACCACTGAACAAGACACACAAGCTGAAACGTCAAGACTGGGCCAAGAAATACCTCCAGACTGATGTTTCTAAGGTTTTATGGACTGATGAAGTGAGAGTGAGTCTTGATGGGCCAGATGGATGGGCCCGTGGCTGGACTGGTAAAGGGCAGAGAGCTCCAGTCCCACTCAGACGCCAGCAAGGTGGAGGTGGAGTACTGGTTTGGGCTGGTATCATCAAAGATGAGCTTGTGGGGCCTTTTCGGGTTGAGGATGGAGTCGAGCTCAACTCCCAGTCCTACTGCCAGTTTCTGGAAGACACCTTCTTCAAGCAGTGGTACAGGAAGAAGTCTGCATCCTTCAAGAAAAACATGATGTTCATGCAGGACAACGCTCCATCACACGCATCCAAGTAAGTTTTTACTTATATTTTGAATTAAAAATAAGTTCTATGCTAATTAAAAAGCACCAAACTCTTTAGGAGAAAAAGTAACAGCATTTTTTTCTTAAACTTTATTGAACACAAACATTTGTGACAGAATCCAAAGTCCTCTTGTGTTTTCCCTCCTCTCCTCCTCTGTTGTATTCAGTATTTCCACCAGGACCAGAGACGGCCACCGAGGACGAGAGCTGCTGTTTACCCTAACCCTAACCCAACAGCGAAGAGCTGCGGGCAGAGACGGCTCAAGGCTGCAAGAGGGCACACATCCGAATATTTAGTCTGCATTTTATTTTTACACATCCTGATACTAACAAGCTGTCTCGACTCTGAATCAGGTGTTAAATGTTCTCCTTGGTGGCTTTTGAACAGAAAGCCGTGCCTTGTCTCGTGGAGGTGTTACAGAGCTATGGAAGACTTCAACACAAAAACACAAAATGGAAACAAGCAGTTTAAGGTGAACAAAATACATGAAAATCTCATTTTTATTTGCATATTACACAATATTCATGAACGTGTGTAAAAAGAAATGTACAAACAGGAACAGTTTCACAACAACGGGGAAAAAACACAAATCCTTGTTTATTTTACTAAAACACACATCATCACAGGAATAGTTTACATGCTCATTTAAACCAACAAGTTCAGACTCTTTAGGAATGTCCTCTTTATTTGGTGAAACAGGATTACCCCTCCCTCTGTCCTATCGGGTGACCCCTCCAGGAAAGGTGACCGTTGAGCGGGGTTCATGGTTTATACCTTGAGGTGCACCCCAGCCATGTGAACCTTTCCTGGAGGGGTCACCCGATAGGACAGAGGGGGGGTTAAAAGGGAAGTTTAACCATTTGTTTTGACCCTTTTTCGGGCCTTGCATCAAATATTTTAAATTTAAATAGTGAAACTGCATCAAAGATCAATTTATTTCGTTTTCATAAAACCAGTCAGGTGTTTCTAACAAGCTACTAGAACTAAAAGTATGAAGAAATGGTTAAGCAACAGAAAAATCACTCAAGTACAAAAAGGGACCACGATGATGGAGCCGCTCAGAATCAATGAGAGGATTCAAGCAAACGCTGAAATATCGACGGAGACCAACTGCCGAGAGGGCAGAGCCTTGGATGCAGATACGAGGAGGATCGGAGCGCACGTCACAACTTTTCTAAACCAAAGGCACTGCGTCTTCCTGCCGTCAGACTCCCGCACCACACACACTACGGCTACATCTTCTCACGGTAAACTAGACACCCAGATCTACGACGAAGACACGGCAGATCTACACTTCACACGACTAGCTGGAGGTCTGGAGCAGAAAGAAAACTGTAAAAACATTTGAGCTGTATGGTTGGAATTAGGTGGATTTAAAGATGGAGCCAAAAAGGTTAAAAATAATTATTTTATTCCCACGGGAAACCTGGTGGATGAACTTGGGCTTTTAAAAATTATCAGTTGAAAAAACGGAGTAAAAAAATGTTATCTCAGCTAAAGAAAAAAAAACAACTTATTTTTAAACAAATAGTTTCAACGACCAACCTAATAAGACGGTAAACAAATCTATAAATGCAGACAACAGGCTGGAAAAGTCAGGATCAGCTGATTTTTCTTCTTTTTACCAAGTAGACAACAAAACCACAGAAATCAACCCAACTAGCATCAGCTAATGTTTTTGTAGAAAGGAAATCTGTTCGCTCCATGAAGTTAAACATTATTATTTCGATTAACCTTTTGTTGCATTTGTCATCTGACTGTTTTCAGTAAACACATTTAACTCATCAACCGCCATTGACGACTAAAGTCGTCATTTGTATCTTTTACTGTGGGCGTCGGACGAGCCCCCACACCGTGAGAACAAACATCCCAGCCCTAAAGCAGATTTTCATCCACGCACGTCACGTGACCAGGAAGCAAAACATCCACGTGTTAGGAGATCGTTTTGGGCCGCTGCTGTAAAAAAGTGAGGCACGAACCGGAAAAGCTTCTGCCGATCACAATTCAACAACAGATCATAAACGCGCAGATTCTTCCTGATGTAAGAGGTGAGTCGCCGCTTTGTTTTGGTTGTTTTGGCGTCGACATCATCCTAGCCCCCAACGTTCTGTGACTCTTAAAATAAACAGTAAAAATGCTGACAAACGTTGGCAGTGAAGGAGTTAAGATGGCCGCATGTCAATGAAAAAAAGGTCAGCTTACCAATTTTCTCAAAGTAAATCAAATTAAAACTAATTCTTGCAACATGTTGCAATAATTATGTTTTTAATGGATTTAGCAGATGAAATAATAAGTTTGCCTTTGAGAGTTCATACGAAGTCAAGATTTGTTAAAAATGTGTTTTTCAGATAATAAATAGAACTCCCATGAGCTCTTAGACTACAAAGCCCCCAGAATGGCCGGGTAACACACCAGACCAGCACACCTACAGGAAGCTCTGATATACGTGTGTGGGGGACAGAGAAGAAGAGTTAGAGATGCTACTAAAAACCGTCATGTCGTCACAGTTTAGCGACACCGAGACTAAAAGCTGCAGTCAGCCTGTTGGGCCAGAAACAAACAGGCAGAAAGCTCATTTTTTACAGTGTACAATGTTTCTCCATCTATATAACTTCATTCATTTCATCTACTACCAAGAATAAATGGTTTGCTTCAGGTAAGGGTCGCATTATTTACAACATTTCATTGGTCCAGTTAGTGAGTGTACACCTCTGACTCGTTATATTTGGTCACAGGACTTCCTGGCTTCTGATTGGCTGAAAGCAGAACACCTACGAGCAGAGTTTCGAATTTTTCAGACACCGTGAGACAAAATAAGGCCGGATTTCTGCTTCAAAACGAGTTCTGATGTGATGGAGTTGATCAAATGGAAACTAGATAAACATAAAAACAGACTTTCTAAAATCATAAAATGTTGCAAATCAAATTTCAGTTGAGTATTTCTCTTTTATTCTCTTTTATTCTCTTTTATTCAGCCACCAAACAAACGAACAATTCTAGGAAATCATATATTTGAAACGTACTGAAAGCAGCAGGTAACTACTGGAAATTAAATATTTCTCCTTTCTTTCTTCTTCTTTTTTTTAAATGTAAAGTTTGACTGAAATCAGAGAAAATGCAAAAGAATTAAACAAATATGAAAAAATTAAACCCAATCCCAGACAGAACACCGGTACACAGAAATACAGTAGCGTTGGAAATAACAACAGACGTGCTAATAAGACATTAAAAAGCTAAAAAAGATCCATAATTACAACCATTAATGATGAGTGTACTGCATAAAAATAAAAGTGTGGGTAAGGTTTTACATGTCTGTGCACGCTGAAGGCAGTGACGTGTGCGGTAAAGCTACAGTAAACCATGTCCACCTACAGTACAGATGCACTCATCAGCTGATCCACTAGAAAACAGACTCAAACAGGGTTCTTTATCTGATGTCGTAGGAGCTAAGGCATGAGGTCTTAGGATGTATGAAACCAGGCGCATGTTAGGATTCAATGTGACGGGATGGTGTGTGACATGATTTTGAGGTTTCAGCAGTGACTGTGACCCCGCCCCCCCCGGTCCTAACTGCCCTCTTCTTCCTGCCACTGGAGACGAGGAGGTTACGCTTTGCTCTCGTTGCCGTTCACCTGAGGAGCCTCGTTGGGAACCGCCTTCACCTCAGCCGTGGCGTTCTTCGCCTCCGTCTCGCCTTTGGTGTTGTCATCCTTCACAGTTTTACCGCTGAGAGTAAAAACCCACGAGTGAGACAAAAGAAAGAGAAAGAGAGGAGATTGGGTTAGCATCAATAAGTCTCTTTCACAGTTAAACTGTCGGCTCAGAGCTGCCTTTTGTGGCGTTCTCACAAAGAAGCAAGAGGAGAGAAAAACACGGGGGTGAGAATGGAAGAGAAACATGCAGGAATGTGTTCCTTCGCTCCTGGAACGGAATGTGTTTCACACGTAATGGGATCACACTCGCTATCCTATGCAGACATCAAACAGGAGCACATGGATGTCACGGCTACTTTCAAGGAACAATGGAGGCTGATGTGGAATGACACAGGGCCGGTACAGTAGGCACAATGCACGAGGGAATGAGGGAAACCCACAACGCAGACGACAACACACAAGAGGATTACATGCCATCTGGACTCAGCTGAGCTCCCACACAATGAGACGACGTTAAAGCCGAGCATCACCTACAGTAAATCCATGATTTCTGGCCGCCTTCCGTTCTTCTGGCTCCTAAATAGCTACAGTCTTTAAAGTTAGGAGTGACCCACATCCCTGATGCTGCTTTGAATAATGCATTGGAAGGACTAGCATTGCCCTAATGGAGTCTGCAGAGGCCGGCAAACAAAAACAACAACAAAAACAAACAGAGCTGCCCCCCACGGGACTGGAAGCATGCACGCTGTCAGCTGGATCTGTGATTATAGAAGAGCTTGTGGGCGAAGATGACACGTTTCCCATAAGGTGTCACTGGCATGGCACCAAGCTGCAACGGAGGGCTGTTTGTTTGTGCACAGGAGACAGGCTTGGTGTGAAAAGCAGATGGGGGGGGGGGGATACAAATTTTCTTGCCCTCATCTTTAAGCGACTGTAAACATTTCAGTGTCATCTTGCTGCCAACCGTTTGCTTTACGTTCCACGTGGAGATTGAACTGTAGACGACTCAGTGAAAGCCACCGGCTTCCTTTGACCAGATGTTTTTCAAATTTATCTTTTATGACTCAGAACTTCTGATTTTTAATGGCTGCACGGCAGCATGGATGGTAGCGCTGATGTACTTTGGAATCTGGCTGCAGCCTTCCTGCGTGGAGCCAGAATGATCTCCTGATGCATTGTGGGATTTCTCGGGGTGCTTCAGCTTTCTCCCTCAGGCATAAACAGGCGTGTTCGGTTGATAGGACACTCTAAATCGTCCCCAGGTGTGAGTGAGTGTGTGTGAATGGTTGCTTGTCTTTATGACCGAACTTTAACTATTAGAGTTCTGGGAAACCTCTGGGACTGGGAAAATACGATTGCTCAGTCCCGTCGGCCTTTCAGGACTTTGCTATGACGTCAGCATATCGCGACCGTTTCAGCACTTAGCGACGTCACTGACCAGTGCCAAAAGGCGTCCACAGATGTTAACCCTCTCAGGCTCAAGGTAAGTTTTGATAAAAGGACGAACAACTAAGTCCTTCAGGGGTACTTCAGAGTTCAAACATGCTCATGAAACACGTATGAGTAGCAACCAGGCTGCACATCTGCAACGCCTGCCTCCAGAGGGTTAATAACAGTAAAAGTTCAATTCTGTCAAAGTATGCTGTGATTAAATCCATCTGGAAGACCGGCAGAGTGATATGAGAAGCAGTGTTCTATGACATGATATTACATTTGTACGTGCTCTGCAGGAGACCGAAAAGGACCGTAAGCTGTAGCACTGGGGGGGGGGGTCAGCGTTGGGAGAAAGGGCAGCAACTCCCAGTTTTTCTGTTCCGGTTGCACAGAGCTCTGCGGGGCAGGGGGAGAGCTTAGCAAAACGACGTATTGCTTACATTATATCACAGTTCGTGATAAGATAATCACCTTTACAGGTTTCTGACAAATCATACGTCATTTCTGAAAGTAGAAGACTCCGGAAAGATACTTGAAGTGTTTTTGGGTTGGCCTAGTGAAATGGAGACACGTGCACGCGGCAAAGGTCCGGTAAGATTACCCGGAAGTTTCCGCTATAAAGCTCCTGACATCACGTGCTCAGGTTTGTTTGCGGCGCCATACTGGCAGGAATGCCAACGGGAAAAAGAGATAACCACAACTACAACTGATGGTTGCAGGCAAATGTTGGAGTGTTGACGAGCGATATGCCACTAGACTTCACAGACTACAGATTAGTGATCCATATTTAGCCCGGTGTACTTTTTAAACCAATAGATCAGGTGGCACGTGACGCGGGATTCCCAAATCCACAGTATCCTGACATATATAATTATCTCGTCATCTTTCCATCACACGACACCGGAGATTCTCTGAAGGCCTATAAAAGTCTGGAGGGTTACAAATGGACTCTATCGGGATCTGTGGCCGAGATTCAGCTGTGGAGCTTACAACAAAGTGTACTGCAAAGGTAAGTAGCCAAACATAATACCGGTAGTATGCTAGCGTATGCTACGATGAGTTAGCCAGGAAGCTAACAGCAGAAAGTTATTTATGGCTGAACGCCCTCTAAAACATGGGCAGCGGTTAGAAGAGATGGTGTTGCGCTAGGAGCTCACTGTAACTGCACAGCTGGACAGGGCGAGAGTTGCTCTCATGTGTCTGCCATGCTGCTCAGATCATGGCAGCACAACCAAGAAAGGGAAGAGGAGACATCAATAACCCCGTGGACTCATGTTCTGATTACTATAGCTAGAACTACCATTTTAAAACGTAACTTCAAATTACATGAAGTTACCGGAAATGAACTGGTCACTGCAAAGCGGAATCCAGCGAGCGACAGGTTCCAGCGCTCGGTTTTCTTCATTGTGCTCCGAGCTCTTTTGATCGTAGGAATCCATCTTTCCCTCAGGGCTGGGTCTTTGGGAACGCAATAAAAGCTCTGTCTTCAACCTGCCCTCGGTGGTTTGTGCACCCAAACACGAGCTGACCATTCTCTGAATGCTGGAAAACCGTCGGCTAGTTGGCTTGTTTACAGTTTGTTTCCTGCCAATATGGCGCATCGTGGTGCATGATGGGATAGTGTGACGTCACCTACCGGAGCTCTATATTGAGGACCCTAGTGAATTACTCTGAATGCCTGTAGTTTGGAAGTGCTCTACAATACAAAAGGACACAAAACTACACATTAATGAATTATTATGGCCAGAACCCAGGCTGACCACCTCTGTCTCGGTGCACCTTCCTAAATGTGATTTTCATTAAATAATCTCCCACGTTAACCTCTCCTTATTCCTTGGAGCAAAGTTCAGCATCACGGATGTTTAAATGAGCTAACAAACAAGCTAGGTGTGTTTATGATACTAGCTCAGGTAAAACAGAACCTTCTAGCAGTGACCAGGCCTTGAATGAAACTCTAGCCTTGGCCTTTCCGCACCAGATGCCGGGGCGGGGAAGGTGATGCTGGCGGAAATTCCTCCGTCCAAGCGGGAGTGGCTGGAATGCCAGATGGCCAGTCCACCATTGGGAGTGACTAAAACTAATATTTACCTTCAAGGAAAAGAAATGGATTTGTGATCTGATCTTGCTTTCCCTTCGTGTTTCAGCTTCTTCACACCTGCTAATCACCGCAGCTGTTTTTATCCAATAATCACCCTCCCAGCATTCGTAGTCCACGGTCTTCTCCTTGCTGCTTGGTTCCACATGCAGTCAGTGATGATGGCAGAAACAGAACGCTAATTTGGAACAACTGATTAAAAAAACTGTAAATTTGAAACACCACAGTACCACCTGATGGTCAGTCAATAACAATACTTCCAGATACTAGTGAAGGGACAAATGAAGCTTGTATCGAGCAGAAAGGCCGTGTCCACGAGGCCTCGCTTCGAGGTTTGCTTCAGAAAACCATTAATGACAAACGAGGCAACTGCAGCTCAATCAGAAAGCTGCTGCTAGAGTCTCAGAAGGAAGTCCGGCTGTGAGGACGTGTCTGTCCTAATGAGCCACAAGTTTTCTGTTTCATGTTGTGAGAAACACACAAAATACTGCTGTTTATTTATAAATCTATAACATTTAGTACATTTTTGGACGCCATGTAGGACGCCATGTTTTCCGCACACAATGCACTCTGGGGTTGGTTCAAAGTGAAAAGGCTGAACAGACGACATGTTGATGTCGCTCAACAGTCCCTACAGGGTCCCAAAGCCGGCCGGTGCAACCGACGCACAACCAGATGACGTCACTACCCAGAGTGCAGTTCGACACTAACAACAATGGCGGCCTACGAGTTAAACTGTTTTTACAAATTTTATAAAAAAAGAAGACATTAAGAAGGTTTTTTACACCACTTTAATATAACTGATACTAACATTTATCTCTTAAGAACCACAGAGTTTTGTGACCTGGGTTCCTTTTAACAAGAACCAAGAGAAGCAAGCACATCACTCCTGTTCTGTAATCTCTACACTGGTTACCAGTAAACTATAGAATGGATTCTAAAGTGCTACTGCTAGTTTATAAATCACTCAATACAAGTTGGATCTCTTTAAAGTATTTACGCCCAGCAGGGCTCTGAGATCCTTAGGAATCAGTCAGCTGGTAGAACCGGGTCAGAACCAAGCAGGGTGAAGCTGCTTTTAGCTACTATGCTGCTCACAGACGGAATGGGCTTCCTCATGACCTTAAATGTGTCCCAGCTCTAGTAACTTTAAACTGAACATGTTCACGTCTTCATCAGCCTGTGGATGATTACTTTTGCAGCACCTGCTGCACTGTAACTGCTCCCTCTTTAACCTCGTCTTTTGTTTTACATGTAAGTGTATTTGTGTATTTTTACCTCAGATGTGCTGTTTTAGGTTGTCATGTTCATTTAGTGCGTTATGTTCTTGCTCCTAGAAAGCACATTTAGTCTGAAATGTGCTAAACAAAAGAAGCTGCCTTGCCTTACTGACCACTTATGAAAGCAGACTGATTTTTGAATGCTCATGTTATGTGAACTTAAGCATAAACCACAATACAACTGACATGTTTATTATGATGACTTGGCCACTTGGAAAAAAACAGCTGGGAAGGACTTAAAACCAATAAGATTTAATCTGATAT